GATTCTTTTCTAAGAAATACTTGATTTCTAGAAGCTCTTAAATAGACTATTACTAAAGAAATTAATATCTAATACTTTTAGTTTCTTTTAGGCCTTTAATCTAAATCTTATAATTATATAGTCTATAAAAAAGAAAGATATTAGATTTCTTCTTAGAGAAAATAAAGGTATATTTCTTGAGTTCCGGAAATAATATTTTTTATAGCTACTAAAGCTTTATTTCTTCTAGTTATTAATTCTTCGGGCTAAAAATAGCTTTTCTTTTCCAAGCTTTAAGCTCTTTATTAATCTCGTAAATAGAGATTCGACTAATAATATTATCTTTTCTCTTAGTTATATAATTAAATACTATAGAAATAAGAATAGCTAAGTCTAATATTTGCTTTTTATTAAGAACCTCTTCTTATTTCTTCGGCTTTTACTTGAGTATTATATCTTAATTAGGTTATAGAAGCTTCTTTTCTATAGTCTTATATAATTCCCTCTAATTAGTCCAAAAAAAGAAAGACTACTTAAGAATAGAAGGTTTCTAGAAATAGCTTATAATAGAATCTTATTAATTAGTATCTTTTTAATATTTCTTATTAGGTTACTTCTCTAGCTATTACTAAGAAGTACTAATAATATAACCGAATTATATAGATTTAGGCTTATTCTTTAGTTATATAAGCCTATGTTTTCTATAATTAACTAGAATATTAATATATATCGCCTATTTTCTACTAAGAATAATATTATAATTTCTATAATTTAAGATAATTATAGATATATTAATACTTTATTTATTAATTAGAAATAAGACTTCTATATATTTCTTAGTAAACTTAGCTAGCTTTCTATTAAAACCATATATAGTATAGAATAAAGAAAGAAGTTATAGTTCTATTTCTAAGAATTACTTTATAAGTTAAGTAAGCTTTATATTAATAAAAGTATAACTATTAGCTCTAGTATTAATAAAAAAAGAAGACTTAATTCCTAATCTATTTATACTAATAATATACCTAAAATATTATAAAAGCATTTCTTTCTATTAGACAAGTTAAGTTAATCTCTACTAAATCTATATTATAAGCCCCTAAAATAGAGACTTTCTTTAAGGGTTCTTATTTCCCGGTTTTATACCAGAATTAGAGCTTGAATTCTTTAAATACTTTATTAGAACTATATACTCTAATAAAATAGAAACTAAGCCCGACTTAATTCTAGAGAGAACTACCTTAGTTTCCTTACTATATAGAAGTAAATAATATCTAGTATAATAGCCGAACTTATTATAGTTAAAGTACTTAATAGTTAAGAGATTCTCGATTTTTATAAAATATTACTTGCGCTTATAAAGAGATATATACTTAATAAAAATAGTTAATATAGGCTTTTTGAGCTTCTTCTTAGAAATATACTTTATAGAAATATATAGAAATATAATACTAGAAATAAACTTAACTAAAATAGCTTCTACCTTCTTATACTTCTTAGTCTTCTTATATATAGCCTTAATCTACTAATTATTAATAGTATAGTACTAAGTAAAGCAAGTAATATTAATAGAAGAATTATTATAATATATATATACTAATTTCTAGAGCTTTAATAAAAGCTTCTTATTTAGTTTATACTTAATATCTTAAAGACTAATACTACCTTTTATAAATAGTTATAAGAAAAGAGTATAGAACTTCTAAAATACTTAATTAAAGTATATTTTTTTATATATTTTTATTTTTAATATACTTTATTAGTTTAGAACTATATAGTACGGCTAGCTAAGCTAGCGTAAGTCTCAGTAGCTTATATACAGGCCCAAATTCTAATATAGGTAGTAAATAGTTAGGGATATATCCCTAAAATAAAAACTTAAGGAAATAAAGAAAAAATAAGTATAAATCGTAATTTCTTCTCTATTTCCTATTTCCCTTTTCCCTTTTTCCCTATTCTCCTTCTCCTATTTCCTCCCCTATTTTCTCCCCTATTTCCTCTCCTATTTCCTCCCCTATTTCCTTTCTTATTTCTACTTCTTCTACTTCTTCCACTTCTTCTACTTCTTCTACTTCTATACTTTGCTCAATATACCATTTTCTTATATATATACTAGTTTCTTTTAAGAATACTAGTATATTTAATATCCTAATTTCCGTATATAATAGTAATTATAGGTTAAAAGCACTAGCTTCCAAGCTTCCTTTAAATAGACTAAATAGTCTAAGTCATTCCTCCCTATATAGTATATAGTATAAAAGGAAGTGCTTTATATTCTTAGTCTTTCCACATTTACATTTATTATTAGATATTATATTTAGCCTATATAAATAGGACTTTAAATATCCGTGGCCTAGCTTTAGCTAGAAGAAGGCACTAGCTAGGGGCCTAAAAGTTCCTAAAGATAAGTTTATCTTTCTGGATACTTTCTACGGATATATATTACTATATAATTCTAGCTGGGTTTTCGGTTTAGTATAAGATTCTAAAAGTAGTCTGTATTCTAGTTTCTTAACTTTATTAATTTTAATCCCTAGGAAAGCAAAGGAGGTTTTTACTAATTCAGGTTCTAATATAAGAGAAGTAGTACCTAGCTTAGCTAGTTCGTCTACTTCTTTATTTCCTATTATATCTATATGCCCTGGAATCCAGATTAGTTCTATATTAGCTCCTTTAGCTTTAAGGGCCTTAGTAGCTAGTATAGCTCTAATCTATTAACTTTGTCCTGGCTTATTAGAAGGAGTTTTTAATCTTAGTAAACTAGCTTAGTTATCTATAAAGATATTAAAAAGCTCTCCTCTCTTTACTTTACTACTAGTATACTTAATAGCTCTAGTAACGCCTTCTAGTTCTCTATTATAGACTATAGTACTAGCTCCTATATTCTGGCTTTCTCTATATTTAGCTATAACCGGAATATAAGGGGTTTTATAATTATAAACTACGAGCCCTAGGCCTATTCCAAGTCCTTTTTCAGTTTAAGATCTATTTATATATATAGATAGTATAAAGCTATTATTATATAAAGTCTTTAGATAGAAGTTATATAATATAGTAGTCTCTTCCTTTGGCTCTTTTAATATAGTAATTTTATAAGGCACTTCTCTATCCCAAGAAGCAAAATAAAAGTATCTTATAGTTTCTAGGTCTTTAGGGTCTATTAGATTACTAATAGAGTCTACTATAGTTTTTATTTGAGACTTTTTAGCCATATGATTTCGCTTTAGATTAGTATTTAGATTATAAATAGAGTCTATATTAGATTCTACTAGTTCTAAATTACGGGATCTTTAGAAGGACTTCTCGAACTCTAGTCTAATAGGGTATTTTAGACTTAGTTTAAGAATACGGAAGGCATATTAATATTAATTATGGTTTAGCCTTATAATAGGTGGAACTAAAGCTAATTCGATCTCTATAGAAATAATAGGAGTAGTTTTGAATATTTCTAGGGTTTTCCTTAGGGCTAGGTTTTGAATTACTTATAAAGGCCGAATTTGAGCTTTACTTTTAGTCTTCTATTATAGTATAGAACCATAGTCTATTATACTAGTAATATAGGCTAAATATAGCTATCTAATTACAAAAGGAGATAAGCTATATAATATATTTATAAGTCTCTATACCCTATAAAAGACTTGTTTTGCTTTAGAAGCCCTATAGGCTATATATTTCTTAAATCTGAGATTTTCATTAAAATAGATCTCTAGTTATTTGACTACTTTACTAGGGGAAACTAGTTTCCTATTAGGTAGTTTTAGACTAGGCTTATTTTTGGAATTATTAAAATAAATAAGCTCTGTTTTATCTATATTAAAGCTAATAGTATTCTTTTTCCCTAAATTAACTATATTCTTTACTTCTCTTTCTAGAGTCTTAATATTTTTCTTTAGACTTTTAGAAATAATAATAAGGGATATATTATCTAAATAAGATCTGAATTTGATATTTACTAACTTAAATAAGTCTCGAATATAGATAAGGAATAGTATAGGGGATATAGGGCTGCCTTATGAAATGCTAGTAAGTATAGACCTAAATACTTCAATACTATTATTAAAAGCTAGTTATAATACTTGGTTGTCTAGAAATAATAATACCTATAAAATAAGGCTAGTAAGTAGTAATAAACTAATCATAATCTGTAATAGCCTATTCTTGGACACGTGATCAAAGGCGCCTTTAATATCTAGAAAAAGAGTACTAGTTTTCAGCTTATAGAACTTATTTAATTCTATTTTATTTTATAATAGTAAAGTAGTATTAATAGCTGACTTATAAAGCCTATCTCCTATTTGGGAGTAGTATAGTAGGTTACTAGTCTCGGCTAAATAACTAAGTCGCCTAGCTAGTATTCTCTCAAAAACCTTCCCTAAGTAATTAAGTAGGAAAATAACTCGATATGCTTTAGGTAGGGAATAGTTTGGTTTCCCTAATTTCTTTAGAATAAAGCTAGTAGCTTGTTTCCAGACTTTAGGGTAATATTCCTTATTAATAAATAAGAAATATAGCCTATAAAAGATATCTAGAGAAACTCTATAAATATGAACTATAATCTCTTAAGTAACTAAGTCTAGTCCAGGGGTTTTCCCCTTTACCTTAGAAATATAGGCTTATTCTAGCTCTATTTTAGATAAAATAGGCCAGTTCTACTTTAAGCTAGACCTATAGTTTATTAAACTAGTAGGCTTAGTAATAGAAAGTAATAAGAAAAGTATAGTTCTAAAAATATTATACTTCTCTTAGAAAGTCGATTTTAGCTTATTTGAACTATTATCTAAGATACTAGAAATAAGTTAATATATAGTATCTTTAGTATATTTTATAGCTTTAAAAATTAACTAGGGGTCTTTATTCTCTAAGAACTTATTCTAGTATACTAGCTTAGTACTCTTAATAGTATTAAAATAAGTATTTTTTGTATTTTAGAGTTCTTATTTATAGAGAGTATATCCTGAAGCTTTAGACTTATAGCTATAGTATAATATTAATTTATATAAGGTCTTTAAGTCCTTATTTTACTAGGGTTTAGAATACGAACTAGTAGTAGATTTTGGAATATTATTACTAGCTGCTTTTACTATTCTATTAGTAAAGTCTTCTACTAATAGGTCTAGTTTATGGTTTCCAGATATACTAGTAAATAGAAAAGGTATATTCTTAAGGCTATTAATAAGGTAGCTTATAAATTTAGCCCAGTCCGCTTTCTTAGTATTAAATCTAACTAGATTAGAACTAGAGCTATAAGTCGACTTACTAATAGTAAATAGAACCCCGAAGTAATTAGAACCTAAGTCTAGTAATACTTGCCAGTTTTTAATCTTAGTTACTATTCTACTAGTAGTAAAACTTAAGTCTAATACGGAAGAAATAGATATATTAGGTCTATAGAAGATACCTTCCCCTGGTTTATTTAATAGCCTTAGAGAATAGTTCTCTATATAGTTAATTAAATAAACTATATAACTACTTTAAGGTTTAAGGGAATCCTACTAAGGATAATATATATTAAAATCACCTAGTAATAAAGAGCTATTATAGAGAATAATAAGTAAGATATTCTCTCTTAATATAGTTAATATACTATTAGGGTCTTCTAGGTAAATTATATTATAGAAATTAATTAGCTGCATTTTTAGTATACCTAGACTTAAGTCTATAATTAAGTAATCAGGATTACTTAGTGAGTTTAAGGCTAGACTAGCTTGCAGTTCGCAAGCTATATAAAATAGGGTTCTAGGCCTCAGGGTACTATAATTCGGGAGTATTTGGAAATAGCTAGAGTATATAATAGAATAATATTCCCGATTATTATTTCCTGCTATTACCCAAGGCTCCTGGATTACTAGGACTTTAATATCCAGTTCTATAGCTATTTATAAGACGTTTTTAGTAATAGAGCTATTATGATTTATATTAACTTATAGTACTTTAATATAGCTACTCATTAATAGTAATAGTAGGAATTATAGTAGTAGTAGCTTTTTTAATTACTAAGTAAACCTCATATAGCTTAGAACTAGCTAAGTAAGTAGTACTTAAGTAATTAAAGTATTTAGTAATTATATAAGGGTATTTTTTACTCTTTTTCTTATAAATAGAGCAAAAATGGTTCTCAGTTACGTGATTCTTACTATATAGTAAGTACTTAGGTTTCTTTTTATAAATAGAATCTAAGTACCCGTACCCTATATACCTAGTATACTATATAGTACTAGAAATAATATGGTATTTTACTACTTTAGTAAAGATCCCGGCTATAAGAAGTCTATTTTTAATAGCTCTATTAGCTTAAATCTCGATAGGGAATACTACTACTACTAAACCGGCTTACTAGAGGCCTGAGTCTCTTTTCTTCTTAGAAATAGCCTAATAGGGCTAGCTAATAGGCTCTAGTCCCTTATTAAAGGTCTTAATTTCTTCTAGGACTAAGTCTATTTCTTCGGGTATATTAAACTTATAAATCGGTAGACTATAGATAATAACTTTATACTAAGGTTCTTCTTTTTATATACTTATAACTAAGGGAAGCACTTCCTTTATAATAGCTTAATTTTGAACCAGAAAGTCAGAGTTAAATTCGGGAGTAGTATTAACTATAATATTACCCTTTAAGGAAAGAGAAACTATAGAGATTACTAGTTCCTTGATTTCCTTAGAGCAAAAAGTAGTATTAAGCAAATTACGAGTTGAAATAGTAGAGAATAAGCTAGCCTGCTCTATATAAGCTAGTAGGAAGGTATATTTCCTAGAGAGGGCTATAGATCTGGTATTACAAGTACTAGAACTACTAGTATTACATATACTAGGTGGTTTATTAGTGCCACGAGTACTACTACTACTAGTAAGTATACTAGGGCCTTTTCCTCCCTGATTTTTAGACTTAGTATATAATACTAAAGTCTAGTTCTTTTCCGAGTATGATTCCGAGTATGTTTATAGTTCTTGAGTAGTAATTTTAGCCCAAGTAGGCTTTTTGGAGGTAGTTTTAGCTTGAGTAGCTAGCTTGGCTTGAGTTCTTAACTAAATTTTAATCCGTTTAGTGGTATTTTCGAGGTTTACTACCTATAAAGCTAGTAAAGTACTAGTATAGTAAATACGGCCGAATTCTGTATATTTCCTAAAGATTTCTACTAAATCTAGTAGTCGAGATTACTAGTTATATAACGGGGTAATAGTAATGGCTTTAACTATTAAGTTCCGGGCTTAATAAATTAGTAATTTAGCTTTATTCAAAGCTTAATTTTAGTATTAGTAATAGTTTCCGTGGTTTTAGTATTCCTTATTAATATTACTATTAATATTACTTATACTAGGGCCATGCTTTAGCCCGTTCTGGAGGCGGCTTAGTTAAGCCGTACTAGCTAAATTAGGCTAAGGAAAAGGGGCTACGAGTTCGTCTAAAGAGATGGGATTTATAGCTAAATCAAATGCGAATTGAGCTCCCTGGCTAAACCGGGCTAGTGGGGAGCTAGTAGGTAGCTCTAGTTCCTCGCTAGGGCCCTCTGGAAGCTCTCCGAGCTCTTAAAAGTCAATAGGAGAGGGGCTGGAGCCCGGGGGGTTAGGGGGGGCCATTTAGCCTGTTCTAGCTCTACTTATAGTAGGTTCTAGAGCCTGGGGCCAAAGGGCTAAGGTGTATTGAGTGAGTTCTAAAGGTAGGTAAAGTGTGGGTATAAAAGTAAGAGAAATAAAAAAAAACCGGAAAAAAGTTATATTTATATTAAAGTATATTTAAAGCTTAATAAAGTTATAGTAAGCGTTCTATATCTTATTAGAATTAGAAAATAGCTTCTTTAGGTAAGAGTAGAACTCTAAGAACTAATAGTACTAATTCGAACTATCTTTATTTATATAAGAATTAGTTAGGGCAAGAATATTATTAGTAAATTTACTAGAAATATAAATAATCTTAAGATTCTCTAAGAAATATAAATTAGTATTTCCTTATAGCTTATTCTTAATCTGAACTAGCCAGTTATTAAAAATAATATAATCTCTAGTAAAAAGAGTTGAATTTAGAAGCTTAGTAATTCTAGTATCTCTAAAAAAAGTATAAAATATAAAGAATTCTGGATAAAAATAAGCAAAAAATAGTTCGGAATTCTTTTAAGAGAAGTTTAGAATAGCCAGAGCGGAAGTAGTTAGAGCTACTATAAGCTAATCTACTATAGCTATATAGTATTTGACTTTATTCTTAAGTTTAGTATTATAAAGTTTAATATTCTCGAGAATAGCTTTATTATAACTATAGGTATTCTTATATAAAAGAGTCCTCTAAACATTTTTCCGGTAGCTTTTTATAATAATATTAATATCTAAAAATAAGAGATCGGGCTTCTTGGCCTATTTATATAACTCTCTAGTAATAATATAGTTATTAGTATTCAGAAGCTTTGAAATAATAGTAAAGAGTTCTATTTCTATAGACTTATTTATAAATTCTCCAGAAATACTAATAGAATATTTAGTTCGAGAAGGGCTACTAATAGAATAACCTAAACTAATAAAAGCTTTACTAGAAGCCTTAGTAAAAGTTAATATAGTTTCTAGTTATATAGTATTTTAGGAAATTAATCTATTATACTTTTCTTTTATTATATTTTCCTTAGTAATCTTATTACCGGTATATATATAAGGCCTATAAGGTTATAGGATAGGGCTTGAGGATAGTAGTCAGGTTACTAGCTTATATATATCTATTACTTTAGGACTTAGTTAAAGAATAGCCTTTATTTAAGGTTCTTTAATTTTCAGGTTTTCGGAAGAATTTCTAATATATTACTAGTATATATTTATAAAGATATAAATATCTGATTCCTCTAAGGATTTTAAAGCTTTTTGCTTTTATTATTCTAGAATCTATTACTTGTATTTCTGAGATTTCGTTATCTTAGTAATACCTATATTACTAATAGTTCTAAATTAGTTTATTTGAAATTCTTTATAAAATTAAAAAAAGTAAGCTTTAAATACTATTATAGATATAGTATTTAGGGCTTAGAAAGCAAGATAAAAGATCTCTTATAAAGATAATTCAAAGCTAAAGAAGGGAAAACTAGAATATAGGAGGCTATAAGGAAATATATATATCCTATAATATACTAGTTCTAAAAAGGCTTAGTTTTCTAAATATCTCTAGTATATTTCAAGCCTATTTCTCTAGTAAGGCAACTATATTATATATATCTAGAAGGCAATAGAATATAGGCAACGGGATATAGGTAACGGGATATAAGTAACGGGATATAGGTAACGGGATAATAATAGTATTTTTTCCGGTTTTTTTACTTCTCTTACTTTTATACCTATACTTTACTTACCTTCAGAACTCACTTAATACACCTTAGCCCTTTGGCCCCAGGCTCTAGAACCTATTATAAGTAGAGCTAGAATAGGCTAAATAGCCCCCCCTGACCTCCCGGGCTCTAGCCCCCCTCCCATTAACTTTTAAGAGCTCGGAGAGCTTCTAGAGAGCCCTAGTAAATAGCTAGACCTACCTACTAGCTCTCTACTAGCTCGGTTTAGCCAGGGAGCTCAATTCGTATTCGATTTAGCTATAAATCCCATCTCTTTAGACAAACTCGCAGCCCCTTTTCCTTAGCCTAATTCAGCTAGTACGGCTCGACTAAGCCGTCTCTAGAATGGGCTAAAGCATGGCCCTAGTACAAGTAATATTAATAGTAATATTAATAAGGAATACTAAAACTACAGAAACTATTACTAATATTAGAATTAAGCTTTGAATAAAGCTAAATTACTAATTTATTAAGCCTGGGATTTAATAGTCAAAGTTATTACTATTACTCCGTTATATGACCAGTAATCTCGACTACTAGATTTAGTAGAAATCTTTAGAGAATATACTGAATTCGGCTATATCTGCTATACTAGTACTTTACTAGCCTTCCAGATAGTAAACCTCGAAAATACTACTAAACGGATCGAAATTCAGTTAAGAACTCAAGCCAAACTAGCTACTTAAGCTAAAACTACTCCCAAAAAGCCTACTTGGGCTAAAATTACTACTCAAGAACTATAATCTTACTCGGAAAAAGACTAGACTATAGTATTATATACTAAGTCCAAAAATCAGGAAGGAAAAGGCCCTAGTATATTTACTAGTAATAGTAGTACTCGTAATACTAATAAATTACTTAGTGCCCGTAATACTAGTAGTTCTAGTACTCGTAATACTAGCTCGAAATCTATAGCCCTCTCTAGGAAAAGCATCTTCCTACTAGCTTATATAAAGCAGGCTAGCTTGTTCTCTACTATTTCTACTTATAATTTGCTTAATACTGCTTTCTACTCTAAGAGAATTAAGGAACTAGTAATCTCTATAGTCTCTCTTTCCTTAAAAGATAATATTATAGTTAATACTATTCCCGAATTCAACTCTGACTTTCTAGTTCAAAATCAAGCTATTATAAAGGAAGTACTTCCCTTAGTTACAAGTATATAAAAAGAAAAACCTTAGTATAAAGTTATTATTTATAATTTACTTATTTATAAATTTAATATACCCAAAGGAATAGACTTAGTCTTAGAAGAAATTAAGACCTTTAATAAGGAACTAGAGCCTATTAGCCAGCCCTATTAGGCTACTTCTAAAAAGAAAAGAGACTTAGGCCTTTAGTAAGCCGGTTTAGTAATAGTGGCATTTCCTACCGAGATTTAAGCTAATAGAGCTATTAAAAATAGA